CTGTCTCTCTCTCATTCTCTCTGTCTCAAATAAATAAATAAAATCTTAAAAAAAAAAATACATAAAACTTAAGTTTTGCGGCATGAGTTTTTCCTCTTTGCTGTGCATTGAGTAATATTTTAGAAATGTTTGAGCTTCTACAAAGGATTACTTTTTTCTTTTTTTTTTATCCCCATGCCTCTCTACCCTCTAGTAACCATCAGTTTGTTCTCTATAATTGTCTTTTTCTTGATTTATCTCTATTTCTCTTTTTTCCTTTTGCTCATTTGTTTTATTAAATTCTACAGATGAGTGAAATCATATGGCATTTGTCTTTCCCTGACTGACTTTGCTTAGCTTTGCACTCTCTAGCTCCATCCATGTAGTTGCAAATGACAAGACTTTATTCTTTTTTATGGCTGATAATATTCCATTCTATATATATGCCACCTTTTCTTTATCCATTCATCAATTAATGGATACTTGGGTTGTTTCCATAGCTTGGCTGTGTAGACAATAGGGGTGCATGTATCTCTTTGAATTAGTGTTTTTGTATTTTTTGTAGTACCCACTAGTGCAGTTGCTGGATCATAAGGTAGTTCTATTTTTAATTTTTTGAGGAACCTCCATATTGTTTTCCACAGTGGCTACACCAGCTTGCATTCCCACCAACAGGGTACGAGTGTTCCTTTTTCTCCACATCCTCACCAACAGATGTGTTTCTTGTGTTGTTGATTTTAGCCATTCTGACAGGTGTGAGGTGATCTCATTGTAGTTCTGTTTTGCAGTTCCCTGATGGTAAGTGATGATGAATATCTTTTCATGTCTCTGTTGGCCATTTGTATGCCTTCTTTTTTTTTTTTTTTTTTTCCAACACTGCTTTTAATCCCCACACCCATCCCTACAGAGCCACTGAGCTGCTTTCCCGGGCCACGTCCCCCTGCACTACTCTCTGCCATCTCCCTCTGCATTATGTTAGAATGAGGAGCCGTCCCATCATCACAGGGAACGTGGATGCTGTTTGGGATTTTTCCTGGAGGAGAGAACTGATCACAGTCTGAACAGGAGGGGCGCTCCTTTGGAACCAGCCCACCCCTCTCTCTGCTGGACCCGGCGGACTGTGCAATCATGCTCCACACCACCTTTACCATCCAGGTTCTGATCGCCAAGGAGGTCCTGGGACCCCCAGGGCCACACTCAGGCTACCAGCACAGACTTCAGAATCCGGCCAGGCCAGATCCAGACCCCCAGGCAGCATCGGGGATGCCCCAAGTCAGCATCCCATGCCCAAGGCAGACTGGGGAACCCATGCGGCTAAACCCTAAGCCTGAAGCACAGATGGACTCAGACATGCCAGGCAAACTTTTAGACTCCTAAGGACTGGCTAGGACCCCCAAGGCAGGGTTCCAGACCCCCGGGGATGGGACAGGACTCCCTCAGCAGAGTACAGAACCCCTGGTGCCCCACTTGCCCCCTCCCCCACAAGGCAGAGTCTGGAGCCACACTCCAGGCTAACAACGCACACTTTGGAACCCCTGGGACCGGACCAGAATCTCCAAGGCAGTTTGGGACCCCCACGCCTGGTTCTAACCCCAGGGCCTGAACCCCTGGTGCCTGAAACCCCCATGCCACATTTGGACTACTGACACAGACTTCACGACCCCCCAGGCTAAATTCAGAACCTCCAAGCAGTGCTCTGGAGCCCCCACTCCCCAGCCGGGCTCCAGATCCTACGGCAGAGTTCAGGACCCCCGCGGAACAGCTCAGATGCCCCCAAGGAAGTGTCTGGGATCCCCAGGACCGCACTCACACCCCCAAAGCAGTATATGGGATCCCCGGGGGCATTTGGACCTGCAAGGCAGAGTTCGGGATCCCTGGGATGGGCTCGGACTCCCAAGGTAGGATGTGGGACCCCTGGGGCAGCTCTTGGACCCCCAAGGCAGGGTTCGGGACTCCTGGGGCTGCATTCGGATCCGCAAGGCAGGATGTGGGACCCCTCCCGGAGCAGCACTCAGACCCTTAAGACAGGATATGGGACCCCCAGGGCAGCACTCAGACCCCTAAGGCAAGATATAAGACCCCTAGGGCAGCACTCAGACCCTCAAGGTATGGTGTGGAACCCCCGAGGCAGCACTCGGACCCCCATGGCAGGGTTCGGGACCCCCAGGGCAGCACTCGGACCCCCACGACAGGATGTGGGGCCCCCGGGGCAGCACTCGAACCCCCAAGGCAGGGTTCGGGACCCCCAGGGCAGCACTCGGACCCCCACGGCAGGATGTGCGACCCCCCGGGGCAGCCCTCGGACCCCCACGACAGGATGTGGGACCCCCAGGGCAGCCCTCGGACCCCCAAGGCGGGATGTGGGACCCCCGGGGCAGCCCTCGGACCCCCACGACGGGATGTGGGACCCCCGGGGCAGCCCTCGGACCCCCAAGGCAGGATGTGGGACCCTCGGGGCAGCCCTCGGACCCCAAGGCAGGATGTGGGACCCCCGAGGCAGCCCTCGGACCCCCAAAGCAAGATGTGGGACCCCCGGGGCAGCCCTCGGACCCCCACGACAGGATGTGGGACCCCCGAAGCAGCCCTCGGACCCCCAAGGCAGGAT